TGTTGATGATATACTATTGACTGGAAGTTCTGAACAGGAGATAGCCAAGTTCAAGAAGGTTCTAATGAATGAATTTGAAATGACTGATCTAGGCAAAATGACATACTTTCTAGGGATGGAGTTCAGATATTCTGAGAAAGGTATCATTTTGCATCAGCTCAAGTATGAATTAGAACTTCTGAAGAGATTTGATCTGAAGAATTGTAAGATGGCTGTCACACCTTCTGATACAAATCAGAAACTGGATTCAGACTCTGAAGGAAAGGATGTGGATGCTACAACCTTCAAACAGTTGGTTGGTTCTCTGAGGTATCTGTGCAATACCAGACCTGATATTTGCTACTCAGTTGGGATGGTTAGTAGGTTCATGAGTAAACCTAAGTGGTCCCATTACCAAGCTGCTGTCAGGATTCTGAGGTATATCAAAGGAACTCTGAAGTATGGAGTGTTATTTCCCTCTGGAGGAAATAATGAGTCAGAACTTCTGAGTTATTCAGACTCGGATTGGTGTGGAGACAGAGTTGACAGAAGAAGTACATCTGGGTACTTGTTCAAATTTCTGGGAGGTCCCATTTCTTGGTGTTCCAAGAAGCAACTTGTTGTGGCGTTGTCAACTTGTGAAGCTGAATACATTGCAGGTGCTGTTACTGCATGCCAAGCTGTGTGGATTCTGAATCTGTTGCAGGATCTGAAAATTAAGGTAGACAAACCTCTGAAGTTGATGATTGACAACAAGTCTGCAATCAACCTTGCTAGAAACCCAGTGCTGCATGGGAGAAGCAAGCATATTGAGACCAAGTATCATTTTCTGAGACATCAAGTTCAGAGTGGAGTGTTAGAAGTTGTACACTGCAGCACTCAGAAGCAGTTGGCAGATGTTCTGACGAAAGCTATCAAGACTGATCAATTTCTCAGATTAAGGGATGGAATTGGTGTTACAAGTTTTGATGGAATATGAATTAAGGGATGGTATTAGTAATAATTCATATTTTATTATATTATTTTCTTAAGCCCATAAGTTTGTTAGAGGGTATTTTAGTATTTTATCTTATTCTAGTAACCCTAGTTTTAGCTTATAAATAGGGTGACAATCATTGTAACTCTTAATCCTGTTTCTTCTGCCGTCATTCTCTTTAATAGAATATTTCCCTATTTTCATCATTTATTCTATCTTTGCACCAACACCTATTGAGTGATATTCAGTGAGACTGTGATTCTAATTAAAAATTGACTGTTGATCTTAACTTGTTTTAATATCATACTTTGACTAAACAAAGTTTTTATATTCATGCTATAATTTATGACTAATTATGAAATTGATTATGAATTTTCATATCACTAAATCATGCCAAATTACAATGGATTTCCAAAAAAAAAATGGATTAACTCACCAAACCTCATATGACATATGCATATTGAAAGTCATTTTCCAAAACACATAGATTTTTTTAGGACAAACAAAAATATAAGTTGGATGAGTTAATACGTGCAAAATATACTTGTTTTACATATGCACATATTGACTTAAATCACAAGTAATCACATAACCTAATCCTAATTCATCATAAAAATATGATAAAACACTTGTGTGATATTTTTAACTATATTATTCATAAGCACAAGCGAAAATGGTCAAAGAAAACCTAAAGTATCAAGCAATGAGGTAGAGATCCCGCTAGGTGAGACATGGGCACGCCTAACAAAGTAAAGGTAATTACCTCGTCGAGCCAACCAAGATCTTGCTCATCCAAATGTGGGGTAATAAATGCAGGAATGTTATCGTTAAGCGAGGAATATAGTTCACTAAATGAGCTAAGGCGAGGCAAAAGACTGCAAACATTTCTTCAAGGCCAAGTTACTTCATAGGGAAGCAAATGGAATCTCGCTAGACAAGTTTGACAGTCTCGCCAAGCAAAGCAAGGCTGTTTGATAGATTCCTTATTAGTTAAGTAACTTCAAGGTGGAGGAAGATTGTCTCACTATGTGAAAACAGAGCATCGCTTAGCAAAGTAAGGTGAGAAAGCCCACTTGGATAAGCTAGCAAACAACTTGTGGGGGAAAAAACATACTCGTTAGGCGAGCCAAAGGTCTCGATGAGTGAGACTACTACTACAAACATCTATAAATAATTATTTAAACCAGAATGGAAGGGAGAATTTTGACAGATATTTGTTATTGCATTCTCACAAAAAATATTAATAACAACAAGAGAGAAAGAGAGAAAGGAAGATTGAAGGCGAAACAGTGTCCAAGAAATTGACATAGATGATATTCAAACTCTTTCTTCTAGATTATCACTACATACTCTTTCTTCTAGATAATCACTACATATATACTATGAATAAGAATAAATAATTTCTATTTTGTCGGGGTTAGATATAGTCGTATGAATATTCATGTATCAATCTTGATCATGGCAATTTATGTAAATCTAATTATGCTTTAATAATGATGATCATCTCTATGCTTGATGCTTGTTTTAGAATAACAAAGTAGAACATGTTTCATGACTTTGAAATGATATTGAGAAATATTTTCCGTCATTAGATCCATGATTTGTATCTGCTAGATGCTAAGATCTAGAGATATATTTAGATTTAGCATCCAATAAGTGCAAAAAAATGGTAATTTTACATATATAATGAGGGCACTTATTAACTTATTTTGCAAAGTATTTCATATTAAAACTCAAACAATAATGTAAAAATGAGTTTTATTAGGAAAATAATCAATTTCTACATCTTTTACCTAATTCCAACCATTTTATAGGATGATGGAGGAGAATTTCAGCCCATCATACTGTACATTTAAACTCATGATGGAGGAGAAATTCATCCCATCATATTGTATACATAAACTCATGATGGAGGAGAATTCCAAACATGTAGCTCAACCTCAGCGTCACTTGAACCCCACCATGAAAGAGGTTGTTAGAAGAGAAGTGGTGAAATTGCTTGAAGCCGGAATGATCCACTGAATTTCAGACATTGCTTGGGTGAGTCTCATCTAGGTAGTTCCAAAAAAAGGAGGTATGACGGTATTCAAAAATGACAAGAATGAACTGACCCCGACAAGAACCGGCACTGGATGGAAAATGTGCACAAGTTACATGAGATTTAACCAAGTCATAAGAAAAGACAATTTTCTGTTGTCGTTTATGGATCAAATGTTGGAGAGATTGTCAAGTCAAGAATTCTGTTTTTTTTTAAATGGTTATTCAAGATATAATCAAATCATTGTCAATTTGGAGGATCACGGAAAGACAATATTTACATGTCCTTTTGGCGTCTTTGCTTATAGACGGATGCCTATCAGATTATGTAATGCTTCATTTGATTTATGTATGATAAACTTGGATACAGTACTGAAATGGTGTGTAGAGACAACGCTAGTTCTGAACGGAGAGAAATGTAACTTTATGGTGACTGAAGGCATAATACTCGACCACAATCTCTTCCATAGGATATGAAGTCGATAGACCAAAGGTTCAAGTGATTGAGAAACTTCCACCACTAATGAATGTCAAAGAAATCAAAAGCTTTCTTGGCCATGCGGATTCTACAGAAGATTCATTAAATATTTCTCCAAAATTGCCAAGCCATTAAGCAATCTGTTTAACAAAGATAAGCCATTTTGATAATGCATGTGTTCTTATTGTTAAAGGCATAAAGAAAAAATTGACAACTGCATCTGTAATCACAACGCCTGATTGGACACTTGATTTTGAACTAATGTGTGACGCTAGTGATTATGCAGTAGGTACAATTCTAGGCAAAGGAAGAATAAAATTTTTCATGCCATATATTATGCGAACAAAGTTTTGAATGCGGCTTAAATTAATTATATTACCACAGAAAAGTAATTGCTTGCAATAATGTATGCATTAGAAAAATTTATATCTTATCTCATTGGTTCAGAAATATTGTATACAGTGACTATAAAGTTATAAAGTACTTGATCCTCAAATCTGATTCCAAGCCTAGGCTTATCACATGGATGCTCTTGCTACAAGAGTTTGATCTAGAAATTAGAGACAAAAAAGGAACGAAAATTGCTCATGGTACAAGAAAAATTGTGGTTTGCTGACATAGTTAATTATAAAGCAACTAGTTTGATACTTGATGATTTCAACTGACAACAAAAAAGAAGTTCTTCCGAGATGAAAATCAATATGTTTGGGATGATTCATATTTGTTCAAAATATGAGCAGACAACCTCTTGAGAAGACGTGTTACCAAAGAGGAGGCCAGAAGCATAATATGGCATTGTCATAATTCAAACATATGGTGGTCATTACAATGAAGAGAGAAGTGTGACTAAAGTTCTACCGTCTAAATCTTATTGACCTTCTCTATTCAAAGACACTCATGAACACACTCAAAGATGTGACATCTTTCAAAAGACCTGGGGAATGTCTAGACGAAACGAGATGTTTTTGCAAAAAATTCTTGAAATGGAAGTTTTTGATTGTTGGGTCTATTTCCCTTTTCATTCTAAAATGAACATATATATATATATATATATATATATATATATATATATATATATATATATATATATATATATATATATATATATATATATATATATATATATATATATATATATATATATATATATATATATATATATATGCGTGTGCATCCAATAAACTTAGAAATATATATATGCGTGCGCGTCCAATAAACTTAGAAGTTACACTCATAGGTATGAATAAGACAAATATTGGAAACCTCCCATTTATAGCATAAGCCCTAGGTTGTGATTTCATAGAAAAAGAAATTGCGATAGCATCATGGATGGACTTTGAAGGGATGCCAAATTTTTGAAAGGACCTATGCAAGACTTCTCAAGGCTCAAAGCTTTTTTCGGAAAAATTGGAAAATGAGATTGGTATTCATTATAATAGTATTAATAGTCATTTTTTACAACTGTCTATGAAGATTTGAACTACATCCCCCAATCCCTTGTAATGGTGCGTTATGTTTGTGATGCAGTTCTTAGATATGCATCGGGGAGAAACCATTGATAGACATTCCTCCATCAACACATATAATCTGGCCAGTGATGTACGACGATGCTGGTAAGCAAAGAAAGGCAACAACAGAAGACACTTCTGCTGGATCTCCTAGGCGTTGGAGTGGAGTTCGAGAGTACACCTCTTCCAAATAGTCTTTGTTGCTCAGAACCTAAAACAAGAGGGGAAAATTCAGATAAGGTTTCATATCTGATTAACGTATTAGACTTCAGTCAGTGTTTGAGATCATTAGGGAAGTTCTTGTAAGACTGAAAATTCAAAATTTTATCAAAATCCAATGCAGTGTTCTAAATCAAATGTAGGGAATGAAAGATTAATTACTATTGTTAGCATTCTTCAAATGGTTATTAATCTGCAGCATCAGCTTCAGATAAGGAAAGTTACGCAAAAATTACAATTTCAGCATCAGCTTCTGAGATGCATATTTTATTTGATTTCTATGCCAAAAACAAGCAATTTCTTAGAGCGTCTTCCTCGGGCGATCACAACTACTCCATGCCACCGTGTAAGGAGGCCCGTTCCAGGAATCTATGGCCATTGATTCAGCGACAAGGTTGTTGCGCCTTATTCGTCATAGATCCGGAAATGTTTCAGTGACTCTGAATTTGGTGACATAGTTTATCATGCAGCAGCCCTTTCTGGTGCCATTCTCTCTCCTCTACAATGACCTCATCATTTGGTTCTGTTGTGGCCTCTTATTAGCTCTTCTCAGGAAGTTGATGGTTTTGTACTGTTTCAGTCCTGCTGTGCACATTCATAATGCTTCATCCATTGCTTCTCTTTCCTGTCAGTGCATTTCTCTACACATCGAACGGTGATTCAACCAGCTGTGCATTCCTTCGAAATCCTCCGGTGAGCCAAACGGTCTTTGCTATAATCAGCTCTAGTAACGCTACAACTTTCCAAATGCAGCTTCTTGGTGTCAGAGAAATAGTATTGTGTTGAATGACTTCAGGTGATTTTATATTCGAGATCAGACTCCTATCCAACTATATGGGACCGGAAAAAAAGTGTCTGACTCAATCTATCATGTCTTCATTAACAATTGCTAACTAGAGTAGTTAAAGTAGTTAAGAGTTGTTAATTAGTTAGTTAAGATTGTTATAGAGCTATTTGTAGTATCAATCGACATCACAATGTTTTATCATGAGTCATGCCTAATGACATATTTTGTCATACACCAAACCAGTTTTCAAAAGAAGTGGCGAAACTACTATACGATATCACTAGTAAGTATCATGGAACATGTTGCTAATTCTTCTAATGGTCACATGATAAAGAAGAAGAAAATTACTTGCTCCACCATCGAAGTTCTGATGTACCAAGGAGCAACTGCATTACTCCTTATGTTGTCTTTTGCCCACTCACAAGCTAGACTTTTTGTAAGTTGATTAATTGCCCCTACAAACCATAAAAGCAAACAATCTAAACAATTTGATTAACTCATCAGCATCACCTTACTGAATATTGTAGTATAGATTACCTTTTGTCGCTCCTTGAACAGACATTGACTTCAGTGAGACAAAACCAGAAACAGAAGAGATAAAAACAACACTACCCACTCCGGACGCTTTTAGAAGTGGATATGCAAGTTGGCACATATGAAATGTGGATCCTAAATTGGTATCAATGAGACTTGAAAACTCTGCGGCTGTGAAGTCTGTCATTGGTTTCCGAATGTTTGTCCCTACATTGTTTATCTACATATCAAATTAATAAGACTTACATGCACAATCACTATCCAAATTGAATATCAACGCAGCTTCAACGTTCTAAACAACCCCCATTTTCCATCATTCCACATGCCAAAACTACCAACAAGACGACGACAACAACAACCACCAAGCCTTATCCCACTAAAAAGAGTCGGCTACATGAATAACTTCTGCGATAATGTTCTATCTGGGACCATGCTTTTATCTAAATTGTTAAGCTAGTGGCATACATTTAGAGATCAAAATTACTATTTACTCGAAAAATGGCCGTCTTGACCATCGATAGCAGGAAACATAAAATTAAACAAAACTTACAACAGGTTTTCGATTATGAACATAAGAGAGGGGGAAAAAATGAGCTTACAAGGATGTTGAGTTTCCCATGGAAGACAGAGGATACATCCTCCATGAGCATCTCCCTCTGTTGTGGAACAGACACATCACAAATTGAACCAGTAACATGAAAACCCAAATGATTCCATTCCTTAAGACACTTATTGAGATCATTTTCATTTCTGGCACAGGTATGAACTTTGGCACCAAAACCCGTCAATTCTTCCACAATGGCATGCCTTTCCATACATTACACAAAACAAAATCACAATATAGAAAAAAAGATCAAAGATAGAAGAAAGCATGCGGATTAAAGTTGAAAACTTTGTACCCAATTCCGCGAGTTCCACCCGTGACGAGAGCTGTCATGCCGTTAAGAGACCATCTATGGTGTGGTTGGGCGTGCGAATTTAACAATGTTTGGCTCCTAATCCTTGTCGTGGGTTTGGATTGTGATGTTTTTGGAAGGTTGAAAGAGGTGTTTGGAGGTGAAAAGGAAACATTGATGTTTGAGTGTAGTGGAAGAGTAGCAGTTGGATTTGGGGCTGGTGCACAGAGACACGGCTGATGCATTTTGTTCAATTGTGATTTTGGATTTGAGTATAAGTGGAACTTGATTTCAATCAAAATTTGAGTATTTGTTTGAGATTTTAAAAGATTTTTTATGACAAAAAAGTGTGATATCATTATGCTTCATATGGTATTTTATTCTTTATTATTTATTTGTTTTATTTTGTATGTATATATCATTATATGTTTTTTTTTTCTATCATCAAGCTTTATGTATTGTTTTTGAAATTTTGACATAGATTACAGATGTCCTACAACATGTTACGATATTGTTCTATGCATAACGCAAAAAAACAAAATCAAAAGCAGAATAATCAAGCTGATACTTTGAATATCAGCAACAGAAGCACAACGAATGTTTCGACATCTGATACAACATATTAATCAAAAGACAAATATTGAACTGTAAATTTGCAGAATGATAAATAACACAAGTTATTTTAACCCAGTTCAGTGCAAATCACCTACATCTAGGGGCTATCAAGCCAGGAAGAAGAATCCACTATCAATAGTATAGTTTTATGTAAACAACCTCTGGTTTACAGTCAACAACCTCTGTTTTACCTATCACTATCCAATGAAAACTTTATCATTAGAAGTCACATCTAATTGATAAGAGAAATTCATCACACTCCCTTAATCACAACATGTGATATCTAACAGTTACAATCAACAACAATTGCATCGTCCTACTTGAAAGACTCCTCTTTCAATACAAAGTTCAGGCAAACAACCTTGACTAACAATCCTACTCGGATTCTATTGGATTTGCTTCAAATCTTCATCCAAGAACAATACATGATTCATTACCTACAGGTTTTTGAATCTGTAAACCTATGTTTGCCACAATGTATCAAACCAATACAAAGGGAGACTTACAACACAAGAAAGCTTACGACTCTCAAAATCCTAAACCCTTATTTCTCTTTACAAAAGAGTTACAAGAGGTTCATCATTCAGTCCTAGGTCTAGGTCTTCCTTTTATAGTCTTCTGCTTCATTGGGCTTCAAATCTTCTTTCCTTGATCCACTGCTAAACGCGCTTGAATCTTGGAACATATTTAAAAACAAAACCTGCTGAGTCAGTCCAGGATGTCGAGTCTTCATGCTGGGACATCTCATTCCACATCTTTGGTCTGGGTAGATTTCTTCAAAAGTGTTTTACCAAAATTTAATCAAATCCTTGGAGCTTTCAATCTCCCCCTTTTGACAAATTTTGGCTAAACCCTCTTCAGATCGATGGTGCATGCAGTGTGAACTCCTAATGTTAGTGTCGAGGGAGAAAATAATTTCCAGGAGGGAGAAGATAATTTATAACCACTCTCCTTATTCACCCTGTGATACAGAGTACATAAAAAGTGTAACTCAGATCACAAAATACAACTTGCTTCATAACTCTGATCACAAAACACAATCCAAAGATGTTAGAACCCAGAATGTTAGAACATCCTTTGAGACATTTTTGCGAACCAACAACAACCAGAAAGCACTGAAGGTGAGAAAATACTTAGAAGGGGGGGTTGAATAACGATTTAGAAAATATTATGGCAATAAAAACACAAAGATTTTTATCCTGATTCGTTGAACTCAACTACTCCAGTCCACCCTATCAAGAGTGATTTGCATTTCTCCACAAGAACTTAATCCACTATAATCAAACTGATTACAATAACAACCACTAAGAACAATTGTTCTTAGTCTTCTCAAGAACTACTGACCACAACTTGGTCTTCTCAAGGAACACAATATCAAACACTAAGAACAACTGTCTTAGTCTTCTCAAGAACTACTGACCACAACTTGGTCTTCTCAAGGAGCTTTTTTACAATCAAATGTAAAACTAAACAAGTGTTTAAATGCTTCTAAGAAAGCTATATCACAACTGTGATTTACACTTAAGTTTAAGAACTTATGAAATAAATTCAGCAAAGAGTAATAATATGTATGAGAGCTTTTCAATGAATTTTTGTCAAAGTACGTCCAATACGTCAACTGAAGAAAGATGTTGAAGGCTTGCTTAAATAGACATAGAAATCCAAGACGTCGCAAGCTTGAAGACCGTGTACTACAAAGTAGTTGTAGCCTTTGTCTTCACATCACTTGACCTTTCCTAGAAGTAAAACATTCAGAGAAATCCTTTTTTCCTGAGTTCTTATGTCTAGCATAAAAGAGGAAATAGTCGTTTGGCATAACCAACGGATATAACTTTGAATAATCTTCTTCAACAAGTTTCTAATTCACAAGAATTAACATCAGAGCCTTGAGTGATCAGAGTCTTGATGTCTTTAGAATTTTTTGTATCAGAGTGTTGCAGCAAGTGTGCTTCAGCGTGAGATTAATCAGAGCAGAGTTTGGAGATCAGATCCTCAGTACTTGCAGCGTACAGTACTATCAGAGTCTTCTGAAAAACAGTGCTTGAAACTCTTCATACAAAATCTTCAGTCTACGCTTCAGATGCTTCTGTAGACAGCGCTCAGAGTCTTCTGTAGGCAGCGCTCAAAGTCTTCTAAGAGATGCTTCTGACGCTTCAGAGCCTTGTGTAGTTCAACGTTCAGATCCATTTTTGCTTTCAGAAGAATATTAAATTTAATATCTGCAGCAAAAATACTTGAACAAATTTAGAGTATATAATTTCTTAATACAAAATTTCGTAAGTGTTATCATTAAAATATAGAGATATAACTAAGAACCAATTTGTGTTCTAACAATCTCCCCCTTTTTGATGATGACAAAAACATAGGAAATTTTGTTCAATAAAGAGATAATTATAACTCCCCCTGAGATTATGAATCTCCCCCTGAATTGAATACTAAGAAAGAATAGAAACTTCCCTTTTTACATGAGTATTCTTTTCAGAATCAGAGCCTGAATGTCCAAAATTAGAACTTGATTTGGATGAATGTTTCAGAATCAGAGCCTGATTGGTTAAAACTTGATCTGGGGATCTCAGAGTTATTTTAATGAATTTTTTCAGATTAATCATTAGTTCTGAAATACTAAAAATTCACGTTAGTTATAATTTGATATGTCTGAATTCCATTCAGGTAAAGTTTATTTGAACAGTCAGAATTTCATTTTCTCCCCCTTTTTGTCATAATCAAAAAGAAAACTTTTAAAGACAAATAAAAGGAAACAAAGAGAAAAGATATAATCAGATAGAGAAAACATTCAGAATCATTCATTCATTCAAATATTCAGATAGAACAGACAAAACATCATATGAGAAATATAAAACAAGTGCTCAAACATCAGATATGGAAAACATAAATCTAGGATTGTTTAGAGAGAAGCATCTTCAGAAGGTGGGTGATCTCATATGAAGATTGTTCTTGTTTAGACATCCATTTCTCAATGTTCTCAGTCTTCTGATCTTGCCTTGCCATCCAGGACTTGATCTCAGATTGACCAGCTTCCAGCACTGCAATCTTATCTTCTAATTCTGGGTTCTGTTTCTTGATCTCAGAAGAAGTAAACGGAGCAGAATCTGATGTAGGAGCAGAGTCAATATCCATGGGAGTTACAGAGTCTGGAGCCACAGATGCAGATGGTTTGTCCATAGTTGCCAAAGCTAAGGGATTCTCTTCCAGAATGACTTCATAAGCAGATCCTTCAATAGTTTCTGTAGCAGATACTCTAGAAGGTACATCCTCAAGAAGCAAAGGTGGAGATCTTTTCATATTCCATAGCATGGTTCTGGCAGTCTCAGCAAATCTGATCTTCGCATCATCAGAGCAGACACTCTTCCGATTTGAAGCAACAGTGTTGAATCTGGACATGAAGCTATTCCAAATAGCATCAGATTCACCTGTATTCATGGTTGACAGGCATCTCTTCTTCATAGAGTCTAAACTCGTCCTTATTTCTTTCATAAAATTAGCAAATAGAATATCAACGTTTAGCCTAGGTTTAGGTTTAAGGAGGGCTTCCAGAGTTGATGGTTTGAATTGTTTTGGTGGAGTTGGTATGGTAAAGGTTGGAATGATGAACAGAGGACGAGGATAGGAAGGAAAAGATGGATGGTCAGATGATGAAGTAGAGGTTTTGAGTCTGGATGAAGTGTGAAACAGAAATGCTTTAACACTTGATGCAGAGGGAATTACATCAAATGAAGTATAAATGTAGGGAATAAAAACAGATTTATCAGAAAGCAGAGGTTCTGATGGAATGACATCTGGTAGTTGTTTTAGGTAGGTTTGAAGTACAGATGGAAGAATAGTTGAAGAACTAGGTTTGTATGGAGTGATAGAGTCATATGGTTCTATTCTGGTATAAAAGTTTTTAATTTTTAGACCAGAAGGAAGGGGATCAGAGGGGTGTGGTTTAAAAGATACAAATGAAACAAACTCAGATGTTCTGGGTTTAGGTTTTGGGGTGGGTTTAGGAATGACAGCATCAGATGAAATAGATTGATCTGGTTGTTTAGGTGCATATCCTCTGAGAGAGAGGGGTGAGCTAACATCTGGATGAACATCAGATTCAGATGAATCAGATGAGGTAGATGAGGGACAGGATGTGGAAGATATGTCAAACATCATTTTGAGGGGTTGGATGTCCAGAACCTCAGAATCAGATATGTTTGATTCAGTAGGTTTGGGTTGTTCTGGTTGAGGATTAGGTTGTGGATTAGAAGGTATAGATTTTGGAGGTTCAGATACAATTGGTTCAGATGGTATTGGTTCAGGTACAGAAGTTTGTTGAATTTCAGGTTGTTGTGGTGTTGTTGTTTGTGGTTCTGATGAAGGAATGTCAGATGATTGTTGTGGTTTAGAAACTTTTGGTTGTTCAGGTTTATCAGATGTAATGGGCTTTGTTGGTGGTTCATAGGAATGAGATGGAGGGGGTTCAGGAATAGAACTAACTGTTGATAATTCTACTGCAATTTTAGAAATAGAAGGTAAGGATTTTTTAGTACCTCTTATCTTGATGCGTTTGGTAGGAACAGGAAGAGCTTCTCCAGAAGCTTTTCTCTTCATCTGCTTCTGTGGTTTTTCAGCAATTTTTTGT